CTGAACATCATTCATCATGTCATTTATTCTAATCCTCCTCAAGCTGTGTTGTTGCTAATATTTACAGATATCTCTTTGTGTGGTTAAAAATGAGCTATTAAGACTCTTATGGCACATGCGATTTGTTGGAGTCACTCAGAACAGATTTCCAATAATGATGAGCTGGCGTGGAGAGGCAGACGCTCGCATGAGTTGTGATTGCTGCTGTGCTGACTATGGGGATAGCTGGGAGAACAACGTGTCATGTGCCATTACTTATCTCGCTGTGTGGCCTGTAACCCTTATGCTAATTAATGTTGATTTATGCCTCATTATGAAGATTTATAACAGGAATACAGAAGTGCCTTGAGTGACTGAATCTTCCTAAATTGAGACATCATGTTGGTGGTTTTTGCGGTACTTTTAAGTGGTTAGGCCATTTCTGTTGCTAAAGTATACTTCATGGGTAATTCAATTTTTAGAAAAACATACCACTTAACTAATTAGCCTTTTGTAAGGTATTGATTTTTTTATATATATATATGCAATAAATCAAATGTATTAAATTAATCTACCTTATTGAAAATCGAAGATGTGAGAAAGGTCAAAATCATGAAATTGAGGTCGGGATATACTGTATATATTTTTTTTCTGGCCTCTGCTTCTCAGGCTCTTTGTGTATATATAAGTATATTTAAGGGAGAACAGGCACAACATCGATCATATTTTAGATGTTAACAACTGGGAGTGAAAAATGTATATGAAATTCCAATATTGAGCGTTTTCATAAAGCAGTTCTGTGACTGTGGGCATTCTAGTCCTTTAAAAAGTTTGGACAGGCTTCTGAAACATTGTCTCGCCTTGAGAGAAAACATTTGCCAAGATAACTGCTTTTTTTGTTTTACTTCAAAGAAACAGTCCTTTTTGTGAGTGTATGGATTACAAACTACAGCCCATAGTACTTGGAAATAAATGTATGTACTGTAGTATTGTGTATACGTGTGAATCCACAAAATTACTATATTTATTTATTATAAGTAGACAGGCAGAAACAAAACATATATCCTTATCTCGATTGTCCTGGATTTATTGTTTTGGGCACCATCCATCCCGGATCTTCTGGACGGTGTTTTTCCAGTCGCCCTTTTCCCTCAAATCTCCTTTAGTTGTATTATTGCTGTAAGTGTGTTGTGTGCTGCTGCCTGGAATAAAGAGCTCTTAATGGTATTTTAGGAAGTTTGGGAAAAACGGTAGCGACTGGTAGAAGTGCATTGTTACAGTGTTTTTGTACAAAATATGAAATGTTAGAAATGGTGCTGACAGAGTTCATCTTTAATTTGGCAAAGAACAGACAGGACTATGCACTTGTCAACTTATGGCCACATGAAATTGAATTTAGTCCACAGAGTGGGGAATAGATTGTCATTGATGTAATGCCAGCCCTGACCCAAATGCAAAGCTCTGTAATCTGAGAAGACACATCCCAATTTAGCAAATAGGTTTGTATAATGCCCATTAGTTTCTAATTCAATTTACACGTTTTTCTTGTTTGGAGAGTGAATATATCTGCTGATTTGACACCATTCTTTGATCACACTTTGCGCCTATCAACTCACAAAGACATATGTTCTCAAGGAGTGTTAACACGTTCAAAGATGTGATACCAGCTACTTAATATAGATCATTCCAAGTAATTCCTTCCAAATAGAAGACATTTTACTAGTTAGGAGATAATGTTTTCTCAATTTCTGTGTATATATACTACTTGTGGTCATTTCCCTGCTCATGAGTTCTGATTTGTTAGGTAAAGAAGAGAGTAATAATAATAATAATAATAATAATAATGCATCGGTTTACAGACGGTTTACATGTCATTATTCTTTCACTACATACACTACTACTGTAGCCACAGCTGTCCTGGGGCACACTGACAGAAGCGAGGCAACCAGTATGTGCCCCTACGACCACCACCAACCATTCACACACACCAGACTCATTCTAGGCAATGGGGGTGAAGTGTCTTGCCTAAGGACACAACGCCAGTTTGGCACTTTACAGCCGCAGCCGCCCCACTGTCCTATAAGAGAGGATTATTGTAGCATACCTGTGTCATCTTCAGGAGTTTGTCTTGTCCTCTAGTAGGATAGGATAGTATAATAACAGGTGCAATAGTAGTAGATCATCAATTAAAAGTATTAAAAGCTATAAGAGCTGTATATCTGTTTTATAATTTGGTTTGAGACTGTTATCAAATCTTTGTGTTTAGCAAGATGTAAAGTAATTAACCAAAGTCACTGGGTTTGCAGTTTAGCCTCAGAAAGCTTTACCTCAAGACTCCTATAATCCTCCTGCTGTGTTATCTTCGCACTCTAACTATTAGCACACTAACTCTTTGTTTAACGCCGACAGTCTTCTGGGAAGCTTCATCATCCGTCTTTTTTTCTCCCGTGTTTCTCTGGTCACTCGATTCTGCTCTTGACTGGCTGCGTGTTTTTCAATAACCAATGAGAGGCCAGCAATTTGCAACTAGTCTCCTCCCCTCTCTAGACTGCAGCCATTATAGATCACCTGCCCCCCACCTGCACAGCTTCATTACTTCCTCATTTAAAGCCGTCTTCGCACTGCTGACTCCGAATTTTCACTTTGCCTTTAAACCTCCCCACTTCTTGAGCTCTCCTCCCTATCCGCCTTCAGTCATTGGCTACGTCTTCTCTAACCCCATCCTGCAAGCTCTCATTTTCAACATTAGGTAATTCAACCCCTCACTCGGGCCGTGTCCTCCCTGGTAGTAAATGAGGGAGTGCAGTTTGTTGATTACCTCTTAGTGCTAGTGTCAGTCTTTGGTGGGTCAATGAGCCACAGAGTCCTCCTCACCACGACAAGCAATACTACAATCACCAGCCATTTATTTTGTTGTCTTACGTCTCTTTTTTTGAGTGATACTTTTACTCACAAACCTCCAGTGCCATTACCCTTTCCTCAGTTATTATCACCAACTTAAGTTACCTTCTAAACCAGGCATTTTCACGATTGCGGCCCTCAGTGCAATTTTCTGTGGCCCTCTGCCTTGCTAACCTTGCTAAAGTAGTCTTTGAGATGATAAACACAAGTTCACTGTGTCATCCATCCAACTTCAGCTCAGCCAATATAGACCTTGTTCTAAAGCTCAGTACGTCTGGAATTCAGTAGTTGACTTTATTTGTATATAGTGTACTGACGTGGTTTTTGATTGTGTCACAAACTTTCGTTGATGGTGCTAATGTAGCTGGGGACAAAATGTCATTCAGCCAACTGCAGTTCTGTCAAAGATCATTTTAAAGCTCAAAAGCAGTAGTTGGTTTTCCCGAAAGGTCAGTGAATATGGGATTTCTTACACATGTGATCAAAACAATGCTCAAGTGATGCCCCTGGTCACACATATTTGGATAGTTTGATTAAAAAGACTTTGTCAATACATTTTCATTTTAATCCGCAGCCATTATAGAAATATCTAATCCTCAACCTCGTCTCATAATATTTAGGTCTATGTAAGGTTCAACCAACAGTTCACTGAAAACTACTTTAGTTGTTACAACCCTTCTTTACTTTGGAACATAACACGATGGTGCTGACGAATGCATACGAAACAACACAGTCTCCCATATCCTAGACAAAATAATGTTGAGGAATTTATCTGCTAAAATGGTTTCTTAATAGAAGTCTGGAAAACATGTTTATTCTTTTTTCTATAGGTCATATTTGAAGTTGTTAAAACTTTGTGATTGTTCTGCCTCCAGAACTTTGACTTTGTACCAATAAAAGCCAAACATCAGAGAATAATATGAAATCCTCTCAGGGGAAGGTTCACACATACTCACACACATACACACAAACGCGCGCACACACACACACACACTACTGTATTATTCTGTTAGGTTTTAGAGACGGCTGGACAGTATTTTGAGGTCTCCAGGGGATTTATTTTTTCTAATTAAGGTATTACCAATTGGTTTCTAGAGGACATTTATGTGTGCTTTAGCGCTCACAGCCTCAACATCAAATATGTATTTAATCTAAGTATTATTTAGTGCCTGCACAAGATAAACACATTTAGGCTGTGCTTACAAAGCCTCCGGATCAATATAAGCCGCGTTGTTTCTTCTTCTTGTTTGTAGCCTGATTGCCTTTGGGTCATTCTGAGAAGTGCAGACGCAAAGTGCGCAGAGAGTTATAGGGGAGGCAGGAAAAGAAGAGCAAATATTTTCTTCACCAGCACCACCATCATTGTTTAGAGACTCTCTTTGTGTGGATCTGATAAGGTTTTGTGGCGTTCAAATCCACTCGAGTGTGTTTGGGTTTTTAGCTTGAAACTCTTTCATGTTTGCAAATGGTAGCTGCTATTTTCAGCCCTATTACAAATTAGAAACACAGCAGGAATTCAGTTTTATAATTAAATCTTTTGCTTGGATAGTGCAGTTTATAAACAATTTACACTATCTATTTATTTTTTACACTTCTGGTATTGACTATACTTTTCTGACCTGAATCACATACTGCATGATCTGATAAATAATGAATAACTCACTTTAATCATGGGCCAGTTATAGATTTTTCACAAGCAACAACAAAGCTTAAGGCCTGCTCAAAATGCTGAGTGTTGACCCAGACGCTACTCATTTTGAAATCATAAGAGGACTTTGTTGGATTTTTGTTAGTCCGTGGTTCGTGTCCTGGACTTATGGAAAAGGTTGGCGTGGAATTTTTTAATTTTTTCAGCAAGCCTGAAAATCAAACTAACAAGTTTAGAAATATTTAAATCAATAATAGAAAGCAGATGGTTCCCGATGGCATAAATATTTCCAAGAAGTTGAGGCAATATTTATCTTGTTAGGATTTTTTCTAGAATGAAAGTGCAAAACATCTTGAGATGACATCGGGATGCCCTGTACAGGTACAAAGAAGAACAAAACAGGAAAGTATTTCAAATATATTTGTTTCCGATTAAAACTTTCACATGAGTGAAAAGTTGAGCTACCAGCACCATGGACAGCTCCGGCAACAGTGTCTCACGTGACAAGAGCAAAAGTCAATTTAAAAAGGACCAATTTTTTCCTTTGTTTTCTTTTTTGAAAATGTATATTATCAATTACATTATTACTATTTGAGTTCAATTTTTAGAATAAATTATACAATGTGGTTGTTTTTGCTTTAAATTAGTGTACAACATACTATGGTAGCAATAACCTTGTATTATCAATGGGCATTCATAACAGCCACGTGTTTCCATGACATGCCAGGACAAGAGCTTCTTGCTTATATCATGGCAACAGTGTTTTTATAATGATTCTCTGACAGTGTAATTCAAAATTCAGGTCTGCTTTATGGTTGTAGACTGCATTATTTCTGTGACAATGACTTGTTTTTTTTGCATTTGGGGAATTACGCTCGTGTGTAGAATTAAGTCCAAGGAATTGTCTAATTAATTGCACACTAAAACAAAAGTGTAACGCGATTACGTGGGCTGTTTTTGTCTGAAAATGCAAAAACCAAACCGCCTTCCCTCGTGTGCGTCTCCCAGGGGACTTAAAGACTAATGGCTGTGTGGGTGTTGTGTCCCCTGTCAGGTAATTTATCACGCAGAGCAAGCAAGAAGCATATGCAAGGGTCAGCGTGAGGCAGGTATACTGTCGTGTACATTTTGTCATTTTACGTTGCGTCTGAGACAGCGGGAGATGTGAAAACTTGAACCTCGGTGCCATTTTCACCCCTCCTCCCCCGTCCCCTGTCCCCCGCTCCCTCACCCTCCCTCTCTCTCCTCGTGTTTGAATAGAGAGCCTCCAGAGCGCTCTTTTGTTCAGTAGCGTTCAGCTGCTGGAGAGGTGCGCACTGCTCTCCACTCGTAGCACCATCGCTCCCCTGACAACACCGCGGACTTGTGAGGGACTAGAGTGCGTTGCATCTGCGTTATTTTACCTCCTCTTGACCCTGAGTGGTTTGATTTAGTTTCGCAGCTTTTCCGCGGTGGTGGATGTTGGTGCTTCCCTGTTTGTGGCGCTGTACACCTGCTCCTTAGCAGACCGGCCGGCGCTTCTCAGGCTGCAGCATCGCTCTACATTCCTGTGGACTGGAGTTGTTCAAAAGGTGAATGCTTCTTCCTTCCTTCTTTTCCTCATTATGGCTTTTGTTTGGCACAAAAAATCAATGTTGTAAATGCATTCTTCTCACTAATATATTGTTTACTGCTGATTATTATTATTTTTTGTTCATTTTATAAATGCAGTTTGCCATCCTTTTATCTTATTTTATTTTGTGCAACTTTCAGAAAAAAATTACACAGCGGAGAATTGACTGAGTCTTATTTGGCCACAGGGAAATTAAGCAGTGATTCTCAAAGTGTATTGTAATAATAGTGTTTCCACCTTACTTAATGTTGTATTTAATCTTAATCTAAATTATGAACAAATTATATTCTTTAAACAAGCAGCATAATATCCCTGCGTAAAACGATGGTTGTTATGTTGATATAGTGGACCTGTGTAAAACGTATTTGATAATATTTTTTACAACTTTGAAAATGTTATTTTTTGAGATGTGGAGAGCAAGGGAGCATTAAAAGCATAATGTTGAAATGCATACTGAAAGTCTTTGTTCACCTGTACCTTTTCTTCAATTTCCTCTCCTTCCTCTTTTGTTGTTGCTCATCATCCGGAGCTTCACAGACTGCTGTGATCACCATTGTTCATATTGAGGGCTCTGTTAGCAGCCTGTTCTTAGCGCCTGCTTTCACTCTGATGAGGCTGAATAAACAACCTTCTGAGGGAAAAGTCCACTGCTTCTTTGTGGCTCCAAACCAACTTTGGCCATTCCCAAAGGCAACAATGCACACATCATAAAAGGATGAAAAGCAAAGCCAGAACTCTGGCCAAGTTTACAGTATTATCTATTCTCTTCCAAGAGGTTGCGCTTGTCACATATTTCAATAATGTGCCTGACAGCGCTCAGTTTAGTGTAGACACTTTTAATGGGCTACTTTTCATTTTGCACTTGGGTGGTGTCTAAACATGATAATGAATTTGTATTGGAAGTTTGCAAATATAAGATTTTCTTTTTTTTGTTGAGTATCACTATTCTGCCTTTTCAAACAAACAAAGCCATGTGGTAGTTCAACAAATAAGGGCATCCAGGATGAATAGATAGATAGATAGATACTTTATTGATCCCCGTCAGAGAAATCCAGGTGTCCAGTAGCAGCAAAATAAAAAATAAAATTAATAATTCAAAAAAGCTAACAATCGTTATAATCAGCAACAGCCCTTCAGGTCACATCAGCAGAAAAGCACAAAACAACAACTGAGTCAGAGCTACTTAGGACCTGCTGCTGTTTTCCAGCGCATTCAAAAGTAAACCTTTTGAAAGCGCTTTTGAATGCACCTAATTGTCTAGTGTTCAAGTTAAAAACTGAAACTTTTTATCCAGTTATGTCTGTAGTAAAATGCTATCCTGTGGATTGTAACAAATATTAAATAGTTTTGGCCCCATTTTACATGAGTTCCTGTATTGTTTTCCAGTACTCAAATGAATTCTGGTTATGGAGAGTGGGAGGGATGTTGGAGCATCCTGCAGAGAGAGACTAATTTGCAGATGTGATAACATGATCCAATTAAGCAGTAAAACACTCACAGCAGTCTATGATAGATCCCGTTTTGTTTACATAAACCACAGTGAAAATAAGTGCACGTTTGTGCCATTCACAAGGGTTTTTGTTTGTCCTTTATGGGGTACAGCTCTTGGTGAGTTGCAATGTCATTTTATCGGCTTAATGAAGCCTGCACCTTTGGCCACCAGAGGACGTCTGTTGGTTTGATTGACAGCTGGGTCTCTTTCTGCTGCAGCCCGACACCGAAAGGCAGATGGAGCATATTCTGAATGGGCTGCTGCTCACTTTGCTTTGGCTAATGGGGTAACAGTTTGGCATTAGCCATATTGAAGTAGCCAGAGAGCCAAGCAAATGAGCCACACAGCTGTGCCGTTAGGGCAGTGGCAGAACAAACAAAGCCCAAGAGGAGAGAAGGCAGAAAAAATAGTTTACCACAATCCCTCCAGACGCAGTGTGTGAATATTCATCAAGACCCCCCCTTCCTCAAATCAGCGCTGCACGCCTCTTCCACCAAATGTATTATTCAAAAGAAGCATTTTCCATATTAAATACGATCAATAAGTAATGACATCTGGTAACCGTTTTGTCTACTGAATAATGGCCAGGCCATAGACAATGTTTTCATGTGATGGTGGTGATGGTGCAGGGTTTCTTTAACACACACAGGTCACTGGTTGGTTGACCCTTAGAATAGTTGGTTCATTCCTTGTTACAGCTGCTGATGGTAACTATTGGTACACAAAATCAAAACTGGGAAGTTTCTTTCACAAAAAAGTATATGAAGATTCAGATTCAGATTCAGATTCATTTATTTGCCATTTGCAGTAAAACCACATAGGAAAAACTGTGCAAGACTACCCCGGTGTGCACCAGACAGACGACACACACCAGAGCTCTTGCCACAAGACTTGCCAATCTACTTTTTAATGCTAAATGTTACGAGGATTGTGAGGTTGACCTGTGGGTGCTCCATGCTTATTCCATGGGGATCATTGTATTATGCTGCTTTTACATTGTACAAAACTATATTCAATTTCCTTTATCATAAGGACATTTAATATCGCAATTATTTGTAGTTTCTGCCAAATGCCTTTATTATCTAAAATGCTTCATGTGTCAATAATGAAGTTTTAGAACTGAACAGATCCCCCAGAGAACGGAATCAATTGGTCCTACCTAGTGTCCAGTGAATCACAACATACTTTGTCCTCGGGCATCTGTCAAGCTGTGATTGGCTGTGAGGGCCGGCAGATTATGCACGTCTAAATCCCATTCTATTGCTTCTGGTATATCAGTATTTTACATCTCAAAAGCTCCATACAACACCAGCTTATTTATTCAACCAATACGTGGAAAGCACCCGCCGTATCAGGTGGAACAATAGAGAAACAAACTCACCTTTCCATCCTCTATTCAACACTGCAGGACTGTTTCATTCAACTGAAAGCCCTTTGCAGGTATTAAAAAGTTCTCTTTATTTAATCTGAGATGTAGCTTTGGGGTTACTTAAGCCAATCCCAGGGTTTTGTTGGTGAAAATAGAGAAGTGGAATAATTAATTTTATGCACTTTTGCACCCAGGTTGTGCTGATCTGCCGTGCAGACCTGCTTTTATCCAGTTGGGTCTGTAACCACACAGTTGAATGAGTCTGAACACATTCTTTGATTGCAGCTGGTTGGCTGTTTCCATGAATCTTTGAATCTTTTTTCTAGTTGATGAATAATACAGAACAGTAGTTGGACGCAACAATTTGCATCTCACCTTCTTTGGGTCATAATTTTTCAAACTTATGACATTTTGGTTTAATTACTTCTTGAAATATCGAGCAGTTAAAGATTGCTGTTGATTACTTTCGTTATTAGATTAAAGGGAAGTGTCTGATGTGCAATTATTTATTCAGAACAATTTGCCATGGATGATTTTTCTTCCAGCATTACGGATCCAGCAGTTAACAGACTGTATTATGCAAATGAGAGGTGCACATCACTTGCAGGTAGAGTTAGACTTAAGCATTGCACCTTGACTGCCAGTTCGTTTATCTATCCACACAGATATCTAGGAAACTCGACTGATTTGGCAGTTTGCATCAGGGTGAATCTTGAACCATCACATTAATCCCCATCCTAGAATGTGATTCGCTGCTCTGTAGCCTGAGGGAGTGGAGTGAAAAATTGGAGACACCATAAAATTGAGCTTAATGTGAAATTTATATAGCTCACAGGGGGTGGAATGTCATCCTTTTGGGTATGACTCGTGGTGGCATCTTTAACATGACAATCTGGGCTCATCAGAAGTAGGCAACATTTCTAGGGGCTGCATTCAACATTAGTTTAACCTGCTTATGAAACTAGTTTTGCAATACATTCCAACACTATGCACTATGCAACAGTAGTATAGCTCATAGATTACACAGCACCTTCATAGGAGACAAACCAATGTCAATTTAACTAGATTTAATTATGAATGAACCTAAAACTCAGAATCAGAATGCAACGCTTTGCCTCTCAAGTGCCTATGTATCATATAATATTATAAGATATTCATTATCGCCATAAGGAAAATCCAAAAGAGATTATTCTAGTAGTCATGGTGCCAGAACATACTGTAGTGGCTCTTCACACGACAATAAGATTCCGGCTCTTACACTCTGACCAGTTAACCTCTCCTCCCCTCTTCCTGCCCTATTCTAGTTCTCTGATTTAACGGTGTCCTGGGTCAGCATCACAGCGCCATCCTCAGGCCTGGTACATGCATGACAGAGTTTTGAGATGTTCTAAAGTTGTCAGAAGCTTATTATGAACATACATATTTACAGACCTCCATCTTTACGCATGCACGTGGTCTTATGTTATATATTTTTGGGATTACAGTATTCCTTTTTGCTTTGCAAGTGAAAATCTGAGTTTCGTGTAATTCCTACAAGATGGAATATAAATAATTAAAGCAATTTGTGTCGAAGTCCCTGACTCCTATTTTTTCCCAGCTTTGTAATTACATACAGTTCCTGTTTGATAATTACCCTTGTTGAGCTGTGCTGTCGCCCTCATGATAAATTTGGCAATTGCTCCTCGTACTGTAACTGGGGGCAGCTCTGGTGACAGCAAATGACCCAGACGTGTATGTGTGTGATTGTGTGCCTGAGATAGAGAGGTTGAATTCAGCCCTTTGCCTGTCCCCTGTGTCCAGTTCAGATTGATCGGCTAAAGCCTTGATGGATGGTTCTCTGCATTGGACTATTGGATAAGCTGTTGATCACTGGCCTCTGCTTGTCACTGTGTTTTAGTCTACAGCAAGGGTTTCCAATATGTGGTTGACGTCCTACTGGTTGTGCTGTGCAGTCATTTTCATTTGGATCATTCACTTAAATCCGAGTAGGTTTATTGGACACACAATCTGTTCTAATTCACATTGACCATTAAATCTACCTTAGTCCTGTTTGATTTTTGTTGATTGAATTGCACTGTATTAATTTTTTCCAACTGCT